AGAGAGAGGGAGGAGAGAGAGCTCCATATATATATATATATATATATATATGATCTACGTAAAACTACTACTAAAATGATGAGTGACAGTTAAGAGATTAAATAAACATGAAGATTTAGTTTATTTCTCAAATTATGATTTATTTTGCATATCTACCTGAACCAAAGATGATATTTAATAATAATCTTATTTCTGATCTTTAATATCAACTAAACTGAGTCTGAAGGCAATGACCGTTAGCAGTTTAAAGAAATAATATTTCCTAATTATTTTCTGTAAAGCAATTCAGAACCGACACGTCGGGTTCTGCTCTGACTTGGTACCGTTCAGCATGACACACCCACTGGGTGCTAAAGGTCATGATCCGTCCAGATGGCCGGACAGCCAATCAGAGACGTGCTCTGCAGAAAGCCGTGTCCTGGTGGACGGCCAATCAGGAAGATGGATTTTACTGCTCTATTTACACAAGAGACGACCAAGAATCCAAACAATCCAACCAGACCAGAGACGTTTTCTCCCTCAATGTTTAAAATCTGAGATGAGTGAAGTAATGAAGAGATTCTCCCAGAAACAGGAGGAGTGAGGGAAAACGACATGGCCACCATTCAGCACGGTGGAGGACCCGTGATGCTGCACTGTGATGCTGCACAAACACAAAATATTACCAGTATTTCTGTCCAGTTTCTACCAGTGGAACTGGAGCTTTTGTATCAATATTAAGGAATTATTGACTCATAAAAAGCTCCTTTATTTTGCTGAAAAGTTTTGTCTGAAGATCTTTGCAGTAGAAACTAAACCGTGTTAGGATTCAGAGTGTTTGCAGTGTGTGGGCTGAGGATCGTCTGGTAGTTCTGAACAGAGACAACTGGACGTCAGGCTACAGCAGCTGATGGCTCCAGTCACCCAGAGGCTGGTGAACATCAGATGGAGATGAAGAAATGATGAACTCACGGCATACGCTGAGCTGCGTCATGTCCGTCCACGTGCCGTTGGGCAAACACTTCCTGACCTTTGGCCCTGCGATCTGCCGATTTTCTCTGCAGATGTACTCGATCTCATAATCCACAGGCAGAATCCGAACGCTGCGGATCTGAGAGGAAATGCAGAGTTAGAGAGATTTAACTCTGGATTAAATCCTCACATTTACTCCAAAGTTACAGAAATAAAAAATTCTAATTATTTCTAAATGTATTAATCTGTGTTTACAGATATGAATCCAGAGCTGCAGCCGTCTGACCCTCAGCAGCTTTCACACACCTGTCCTGCTGTTTGACTTTTACCACAGAGACAAGCTGAGCATGTCGTTTTAATGATACTTTTACTAAATCAGAAATTATTCAAATGTAACTAATTCAGATCCAGTTTTAAAATAACACTTAACTGACTTTTATCATTTTTTTCTACCAGCAGTTGAGATATTAAGAATGTCATAAAGATGGTACGGAGAGGTGATGAGCCAAACCGGCAAGGTGTGACTGAGAACGAGGAGCTTAAATACTGGGAGGCTGGTGGTGGGAACACTGGAGGTACCTGACCACTGGAGCAGAACCAGACTGAGGGGAGAGAGGCTTCACACAAACACAGCAATAACTGGACCTACTGAGACGAAACCCTGTAAAACTAAGATGACCAAGAAGAGCTGAGCTAAAATGAACCAGAACATAACTGATTAAACGGAAGAGGAACGTTTGAAATACAACAAGCGTAACTCATACTGAGATAAAGGAGCTTGTTTTAAGTCAATAATGTCTTAATATTGAAAAATAAAAATAATCGTTGCACTGCAGATTGTTTGACTTACAGCAAGATATTTTCCCATATTATGATTTAGACCAGTGTTTCTCAACCTTTTTTGGGCCAGCGCCCCCCTGGCCTTT